CCCCAAAACCCCAAAACCCCAAAACCCCAAAACCCCAAAACCCCATTATGATTTTATAATAAAATAATTTATAATAATTATAAATGTTCTCTAAGCAAAGCGTGAGGATCAACAAAGCTCTGATGGTAAGCTACCCTGCAAAAATTAATCGCTCAAAGAGGTCTAACTCAGTTTGGTATAGCAGTCAACAATGCCAGTCAGGAACTTCAGAAGGAATGCTGCCCCAGGATTTTATAATCTGAGATTCAGGCCTTCCCAGGGTGTTGATAATAACTACATTCCATTCACAGGGAAATGGTATGCACCAGGAGGGGTTGACAAGACCAAGACTGATAGGAATCCTAATAACTTTAAGTACACCAATAACTTGTTCAGTCAGGATGCTGATGAATGGAGAAACAGAGCATCCGACTACGTTTACCAGATTTATAGAAGATTACATAGATCTAATGATGGCTGGACCAGAACGTTGGTAGCCTACACTTCCTTCTGCTTCATGATGGCCCACCAAGCTTTGTTCTGGAAGGTCCATTTGTTCTGCTTTGGGATATTCACTGCCACCAGAATTAGGGACAGAGCTGCAGAACCTACTGTTGATGAAGTCAATGTGCTAGATACTATTTTCAGTGATGAGAAGTTGAAGGAATTGTTCACTCCTGAAACGTACCATGTAGTTGATTATAACCAGGAGTGGGACAAGGGACGTGACAACCCATACTTCCCAGAGTACAAGACTACCATTGCGAAGTTCTTCAACACAGACTCTAACACCACGACTGGATTCTACAAGTTCGGAGATGTAGAATCGGGAGCTATGATGACATTGCATTTCAAGACGATGCCATTCGCCAATAACAAATACAATTTTTCAGAGCCATTTATGATTTATGACATGTGGGCTGAGGTCACTCATGAAGGCGAGTTCTTCGAGCACAGGATCGTCAAGGCAGAAGAAGTACTTAGAACCAAGAAGATCTTCGTCAGTTGGCATTAAGCAAGCGTGATCAATAACAATTACATTGATTTTATGTCAATTATGAGAATATTAAAGGGGTTTTGGGGTTTTGGGGTTTTGGGGTTTTGGGGTTTTGGGGTTTTGAGG